GGATATCTCGGGCGCCCTGCTTCCTAGTCGCTTCTGACCGTATCGTTTTATATACTGTTAATGCTGTATTGAAATGGTTGTTTTTTGTTATTGTTACCGTACACTTCTTTGGAGTCCCATTTTTATTTGGTTTGGAAGCTTCTCAAAATGCCAGCTTCAAGACTAGTTGAACCATAACCACTGGATGCTGCGACATTTCAGCAGCTTAATCATTAAGCTGAAATATGGGATCGTTGTATGATGTAATAGCTAGTAACTTTTCTTGAACAAGACTTTCAAGGGTTACATATAATAAGGATATAACCTTTGTCCTAAGAAAGAACTAGTTAATCAGACTCCTTTGAAAGACCCAATATTTGCATTAATCTAAATCGCAGAATCAGAAGCAAACGACACAAGTGACCTCAGACAGAAGTGATGAATATTTGTTAACTTTAAACCTTTTCGACAGATATTATAAAACTTGTCCCATCGATGACCCATGAAACTCTCAAGTAGTACTGTTGCCTAAAATTTAAGAGAAATTATCCGCCATATGGAAGGCGTCAATCTGATCCTGCAACGCGGCTATTTGGCTCCGCAACTCAGCCACCCGATTCTGCAGATCGTTGATGATGTTTACGTAAGTTCGGATTTCGGCAGCACGCGCGCCACGCTCTTGAGCATCCATCAGATCATCCTGAGTTCCTCGAATCATCGTTTGCGTTACCCCTATCTCCCCTTCCATTACTCGTATTCTTCCTTCAATTGCGCCGATTGCATTGGCGGCCATAATAATCTTGTTCTATGTATTATTATTGCTCCTGTGCATAATAATTATCAAAAAAAAATGATTTAGCCATCTATATGGAGGGTTAATTACTTTCAAGATATTGTTAAACGCAACTTTATTTTATTTAGCACAGTTTGTTAAAAATAAGAAAAATACCCCTCTTCGTAGATACTAAAAATACTAATATAAGACTGAAAAATACTAGGATAAAACTGAACATTAAATGTAATTAATTTTAACATTAAAAAAAACCAAAATAAAAGTAATACCAATTCCGAAAGAAACGAAAGATATTTTAATTTTTTCATATACACTTATTTCTCCGTAGATATTAATTTCTGACATTATTAAACTTGTTTTGCTTTAGAACGAAACAAAATACAAAGCTGAAGAAGAAGATCGATAACCTTGTTCTACCACAAAATAGAATGACCATTAATTGTTTTTTGCTCCAATAATATTGAGATAAAAAGAATCTATATGGTAAACACTTGAATAGAACATCATAAATTCAGGCGCTGATAAAAAAACAAGTATACTGATGACAGCAATGTCGCCAATATGATCACCTTTGGTCCCGAAACCATCAAAATTAATAGTATAACAAACACGACAACGAAATCATATTAAAATTAGCTTTTGCCTCTTGCAAAAGTTGGCACAGCTTGAAACCTACCATGCAGAAAAACAATATGAATAAACAGGGAACAAAAATCAAACAATTTAGGCTACATGAAAACTCACCAGAAGCTCAAAAGTACGCACAGTCAATTTGGTGAAAAGAGAGAGAGAGAGAGAGAGCGCCCCTTAACTACGATCCGGTCACAGAATTAGGGTCTATGATTTTTAGTACATCCTGCCTTATATATACTATACTACTAGAAAGAATACGAGACAGAGCATAAGAATCATAATAAAGGAAAGTAATAAACCTCGTTATTGCACGAATCAAGACTCTCTCTCTCTATTTCCTAAAATAGACTACCAAAAAAAATATACCCATATTTATTGAATTGTTTTCTTATAAGAACATCCATAATGGTTTATGCTATTGTGATTATAATGTAATAAATTTTCAATATTACACTTTTACTTAGCTTTTCAATATATTAGTTTATTTACACAGTAAAAGTGTAATAAAAGAAAATAATTATTGCATCACAATGAACTCACATTAATGATGTATTAATTCAAAAATAATTTAATATATACAGTGTAAGAATTTTTACACCTCTATAAATTATTACACCCAATACAATAACAAATAGTATGATAAGATGGTTATGCTCTAACAAACTTTATTTGAGAAAGTATATATTGAAAAAGCACACCAAGGAAACAAACAGTACGAGTATACACATGGTGCACCGAGACATATGTTGGGAGGAGGTGAAAGTGTGAAAACCCTTAGGGTTTGTATTGATGTATTGAGTATATATATAGTACAATCATGGATACACAATTACAATTGTAACCTTAACTATATACACTAACAGGAGGTAGAGTGCAGAAAATAAACAAGGCCAGTCACCGCAATGGTTGCTGCATTGCCAAATTATTTCCTTGATTTGGATTTCAAGAATACAATGGAGAATTTTCTTGTCTTCTGCATTGCTGATTTGTGATCGTCCGTTGAATTTTCCGAGGCTTTGTAGGATGGGAGATTGTACTTATACATATTGATAGAAGGTTTTTTTTTTTTTTTGATATGCTTCTCAATTTGATGTATTAGGAGGACTTGTAAGAGCTATAATGCGTAAATTTCTCAAACCAAGGCTGAAAGTCACTGCTGAGAAATGGGCTCCAATTTTGAAAGAATAGTCCAAAAACATAAATTGAGAGTGAAAAAATGGTGAGGATTGCAGCCTTCGGCCATGTTTAATGGGTTTGTTGTCGTAGTAATTTCACACTTCGTAGCTCCGGGAAGACTAAACTTCACATTACGTCTTATACATTTGGGAAAAAATATATTTTTGTCTAAAATATTTAAAAAAGTACATTTTTGTGACATATTATATTTCATACTATACTAGTTTTTTTATAACTTATTTTGATCCCATATACTAAATATTATACAACTTTTTGTAGAAGTTTCAAAACACTATTCCGGTCAATTTTCACTCTGGGGTCAGGGGTGCTAGTAGGGGCATGCCAAATTCTCAACGATGAAAACCAGGGAGAAGATTCGGAACCCGTGTCTCGTAGTTTGCTAAACAAATTTAAGCAGCTCGAGCCAGAGATTACAGATAGGTGTACTGTTCTGTTGAAGTCATTAAGGTCCATGTCTTGCTCAAGTGATGAGATCCTGGAATTCGTCAGATTGTCTAATTGAGAATTTCCAGGATCAAATCGGGTTCGCTTCTCTGAGGATACAGAAGTTTATGCGCTGCCCTCCGGAGGTTACAGAGATGACCCAAGGATACAGCGACCCAGCATCAAGTTCTTACATTACAAGTTCGGATCCGTTCAACTTGTTGTCAGCCTCGTTGATTTTCTAATGGAAGGTTCAGGCTCAGCTGATCATTTTATTGAGGAGGTTGAATATCTGTAAAGAGGGGTTGCTATATTCATTATATCCTTCTGCACACATCCAGTTAATCCAAAAGAGGAAGACGTAACGAATGTTGAATATGGAGTGATTGAAGTTGCTATCAATGAGGTACTCTCTCTCATTCGCTCTCTATACCTGAACAAATTAGACGTGGATGTGATTACTCTCCGAGTAAAGATGGACAAAGTGAATGCCGAGATTAGAAAGCTTTTTATCCCGCTTATAAATGCTTCAGGCTTCAATTTCCCAACCACTAATGGTATGGGATTTATCGATTTCATGCTGGAGAATTTGAAGGAAATGGTGAAACGTAATCCCGATGGAATTGCTTTTGCAAAGCATCAGGTCATGGTAATCCATGAGAAGCTTCTTTCTCTGAAACCATTTCTCGAAATTATTAGGCAGTTGGAGGAAGAGACAGGGGAACTAAAACATCTTTGGGATCAAATTATCGAGACGCTCTTCCTAACCGAGCATGTTATCAGTTCTTGCTTAATTGTAGATCATCCTGTTTGGTATAACATGTTGCAGCTTTTAGATGTAGTAGAGGCAATCCAGCTCCTTCAAATTGAGGTGAAGAAATACAGTGATCAGATGCATGACACCAGAATGCCATTCGGGTATTGTTGTCACGAGGCGAACAAATTCCCCGATCCTTGAAGATGTTGTGGTGGATTGGGAAGATGAGCTGAAGACAATCATTGAGAGACTCATCCAAGGAACAAAGCAGCTTGACATTGTCTCCATTGTAGGTATGCCGGGCGTTGGTAAGACCACCATGGCCAAAAAAGTGTACAATAATCCTAACATCAGATATTACTTCCACATACGTGCATGGTGTTGTGTTTCCCCAAGTGTACACGCCGAGAGAGTTGTACTTTGACATCTTAACTGATGTCATCGGTGATGATGCTCCCAAATCTTACTCGGGCAGCACTGATGCAGATTTGGCTAATATGCTTCGAATCATGTTTACAAGTCGTATCCACGGTTTGGTGTCACAAGCAAAGTCCGGGATCACTTTCCAGTGAGGAGAGTTGGCGATTGTTGCAAACGAAACTATTTGATCATGAACACAGTAATCATCCTGACGATGAACTATCCGAGATTGGAGAAAAAATTGCCAAAAAATGTGAAGGGTTGCCTTTGGTAGTGGTTTTAATTGCTGGTATCCTGGTGGGTAAGGACAGAGAATTCTGGAAGCAGGTCGAATCTCGTACTAGTTCACAAGTCGTAGGAGAAAGATGCATGGATGTGCTTGAACTGAGCTACAAGAATTTACCGAACAATTTGAAACCTTGCTTCCTCTATTTCGGAGCATATGGAGAGGATAAAGTTATTAGAGCTCCAAAGCTGATGGAGTTTGTGGGTTGCAGAAGGGCTGATACCAAGAACTGCAGGGAAGAGCCCATATAAAGTTGCTGAGGATTATTTGTGTGATCTGATCAGCCGGAATTTAGTAATCCTTGAAAGGAGGAGTTCATTTGGTGGAATAAAAACTTGTCGTGTCCATGATCTGTTACACGAACTTTGCTCGGCGAAAATTCGGGAAGATAGCTTTCTGCAACGGCTGCAAGGGATTGATGTTTCTCATTCTTCATCGAATCCCACAAAGTATCACAACTCTCGTCTCTGCATTTATGATTCTCAACAATGGACCGACTTTGTTGACACAAAATGCACAGGCGAATTCGTCCGCTCTCTGTTTTTTACTTTGGTGAACGGATCAAGATTTCATGTCTCAAACCCTTTTTGAACAATTTTAGACTTGTTAATGTGTTGGATTTGGAGGGCACTAGAATAATTGGTCATTTTCCTCAAGAAGTAACATTAATGGTTCATATAAGATACTTAGCAATCACATGTAGTGGGGGTTCAGAACTTCCAGAATCCATTGCGAATCTATGGAATCTGCAATTCTGGATGGTGTACAATCTTGAGGTAAATCACTTGCCGAAATCCTTTTGGCAGATGAAAAGCTTGAGGCAAGTACATATTCACAAGATGCCCTTGGCATTACCGTGGAGTTTCATATCGACATTCGAGCAATTGCCTAAACTGGAGGTTCTCAAGTTAGTGTACCATGGATTAAGAGCCAAAAGATGGGACGTGAAGGATGGCACATTCTTGAATCTCAAGTACTTGAAACTCCAATTCTCTCGTTTATTGAAGAATGGACTGTACAAGGGGAGCCATTCCCCAGCCTCGAACGACTTACTTTGAGAAGCTTCGCGGGATTCCCTCCTGTTTTGGATCCATTCCTACCTTGAAGAAGATTAGAGATGCATCATTGTACCTTAGCATCAGCATGATCAGCCTGGGAAGTTGTTGAGGAACAACGAGAATGGGGAAACGATGAGCTTCAAGTTTTTGTTTCTGACTAGCAAGTAAGTTAATAATGTTTGATTATTATGCTCCTTTGAAGATCTCGGCTAACAAACTTATTCAAACTCTAACATTTGGCTTCTTTCTCTTCTTTATTTTTATTGAATTTTCTTTTTTCATCCAGGAACCCTTTGTTAAGTAGAAAACACATTCCAGTATATCAAATTATTCCATTAAGTGGGGTAAGTTTTTTTTTTTTTTTGTTTTCTTTACACACTCATTTTTTGTCAATTGGGTCACTTTTGGCATTAACTGACGGTCAAGGGGCTAATTATCCTTATAAAAAAAATATCACGGAAACTAAGGCAAAATCTAACAACACTGCATCAATGGAAACTAGACCCCAATCTCAATATTTAAAAAAAAAAAAGATAAAAGATAAAACTAAGTAAATAAAAAAATAAAATCCTAAAGTCTAATGACATGTTTGATAACACATTAACACTACTTAATGCTTATATTTTTTTGATTAATCACTTTTCCATTTCAGAATTTGAACGTCTTAATGAATTAACTGCAATATAAAATATAACCAATAAAGTTAGCTTATTTTGTAATTGTGAATTCAGCATTCCTAATTTTGTATTATACATTCATAATTAAACACTAATTTTTATCTGTCTACATGCAAGTTAATTATTATTAATCTTGTTACTCAATTTTGCTTAATAATTGGTTGTGACGAAAACATGACGAACAAAAAGAGTAACTCATCATCAATAGTTATTAGTGCTATTTTCATGGCTCTGTTGCTGATGATCTTCACCTATGGAGCAATCTTATTTGCAGTAGCACAAGACCAACCACCAATCACAGGTGGTGGTCGTGAAGAATGTTGCCATGGCTGCATTTATCAAGACGTTGATTGCTTCATGAACTGCTCCAAGCAGCATGATGCCGATAAAGGGAATAAGTTTGTGTTCGTGGAATGCAGCTTTTCCTGCGTTAAATCCTTCGATTCTTGTGTGAATTGGTGTGAAGATTGCCCGTTAGAGGGCTCATCAATGGTATGTAACTCGTACTTAACGGAGGAACTCCGCACGATACTAAAAGCTGTCTGTGACCATCATCAGGGATGAGTATTTTAGCTATGCCTTGGCATAAATCCTTCGTTGGAAGTAGAGGTAAAAGACCAGTAAGTAGTACTTCCTCCGGTCCTATCTATGATGTCTATCCTTCAGTGAAATTATATATATTGTAGTGATGAAAAGCCAAAAGAGATATACTACTATTTTATAGCACATTTAACTCCTCATTGTAAGGGGTGATGTGATCAGTAGAAATTTGGTTTGATCATCGGCTAGTACTGAAAAACAATACCCTAAACTAGAAATCACAGTTTTCTGTTGAGACTTAGAAATGATTGTAATGCATCAGCTTACAGCCACATTACAGCTTATGTGAACTTGATGTAACTTAAAAAATCAAATATAAGATGAATGTTGCATACATAACAGTACTTCAATCATCCTCTTGGTCAAAATCTTTAATCTTCACATCAGCATCTTCTCCATACTGAATGCAGTTATCGATTTGTGACAAGATGTATTGCATACTGCACATGATAGCAGAAATAGTAGAATGAATACCAAAACTGAGCACTATTGTCCGACAGGTTAGCTCGAGATTTACAAGTTTGACATCTCTGGAAACGATATTGAAGAGTGCGTAGTCAAAGGATGAAAAGAAAAAGGAGCAATTGGCAAAAACTTGATACACTTAAACCATATGTATATGTTCAGCTCCAAATCTGCTGAACTAAATATGTTTTGGATGGAGTAAATCAAGTGAAGACATTAGTTAAGACCAGCCGAGTTCCACAAAACAACAATTAGTTACCACACTTTAGTAATGCAAAACTTAAAACATCTGCATCTGCCAAGGCTCGTTACTAAGTAACTGGTTAAATGTGCCAAGTTTAATCAGGAATGGAAATCAAGTCTACTATGGTTCATTCTCAATATAGATAGAGTGATTTATACTGTTCCCCTAACCAGTCGTGCGTCCTATACCGATGACATACACAAACAGTTTCTGCAAAAATTGGAAGGACGTGTAATTTCTGAAAACTCCTAACCCTCTCTGTAAAGGTGCCATGTAACTAAGCATAGTTTTCACTTAGTTAATTTTTTATTTCTCAATTAGAATTAGTGAAAGAATAAAATGACCACTTGACTCTACCTTAAAAGCATACAGAAAAGAAGAAAAGAACAGCATGTGGCTTAAATTATAAACCAAGAGTGCCTTAACAGAGAAAATACTGTAGCTTCTAACAATTTATTGAGAACTCAAAACAGCTGAAATAGTATCTACACCCTAACTCTTCTAGTAAACTCATCTTCTAACCCTTAACTTTCTACTTAATTTGAATTTACCAACTCATTTTGCCACCATTTTTTTTCAGAACAATGCCATTGTGTCTAACAGCATAAATTCAAGTCATTCTCATTCAGTTAGCCCTACCAAAAGCAAATGTTTCATAGCACTTGTTTAACATCTCTTTGTAATGTTTTAGAACCAATAAAGACTAGACGAACAGTGTAATTGACATTGTTAAAGAAGATCATGTGGCTTAAATTATAAAGCAAGAGCAGATGATTCTGCAAAACCATATAAATTCACTATTTTGTCATTCAATATATTCATAGTGTAATTCATCATACACACTCAGACTTATCTTTCTATCATGAGAACAACACTTAAAGTTGAAACATATGTGGTGAAAAACTTCAAAGGGGAAATCTAGGGTCCATTGAACACATTTTGATTTCAGGGAAGCATGAACTACATTTACATCTAAACAGAAGAGAATGAAACAGGCTCCACATTTTAACAGAAAAACACCAAAGCAGGACGGCAAGAGTTGAGTGGCAAAATAGGATTTGAAGTATCAGGCTCAAGATATTGAGTCAAATGGTTCAAGTCTTGAACAATGTCATAATCTTTTCAAATAAAGGAGTTATATCATTTTAGGTTCCTTAAAAATAAGCTACTAAAAATACAACTACATGATAAGTTTATTAAGATTTATTTGTATTTTTGGGTTGATAGAAGTCTCCGTTATAATAGACTTACAGACAGAATTGGTGGTTTAAGACAGGTGAAAAGGAAAAAGAAAGCAGTTTACCTTCGTTCTTTCCTCAAATCAAGCGGCAAAAAGGTGACCATGCTATACTGGTTTACCTATTATCAAAAAAAGTTTGGTCAAACAGTCACGAATTTCACATGACAAAAGAGAGGTAAAGGACAAGAAAAGTCATTACTTAGGAGTATCTACTGGGCCTAATTAGGAGTATCTCGCCTATATTATCAAGTTCATACTGCAAAATGCTTTCCTTTACTATGTTAATGGACAAGTTGTGTACATGCTAGAAATGAAAGATAATTGATATCTCGTGGTATAGAAGATTTTGAGGCAATGGCTACAACACAAACAAATCACAAAGGAGGTTACGGTTCAACAAGATGAGTGATTGATGAACAGGAAGGGGAATGACAACAAAAACTAGTTATTTCATACCGAATAATAGCCATTAGCAAGTATTTTTGACAAATTGTTGTGAAGCCATCATGAACTCACCGTCACATTCCGAACAAAGTAGTTGAGATGGAATGGATTCCATTGACCGAAGTTAAACCTAAAGTAAAGGAACCTCAACCAGAACTCACCAGTTCAATCAAAGATTTATTGAGCTTCTCAAACTGCGGAGCCATCCGTTGATTCAACTCAGGCAACAATGTCTCAGGTAGAGGATCCAGGTAGCTAAGCACAGAAAGTAAGGAAGACAGAGCCTTAGACGCTTAGGGAAGAAGATGAGATGGGACAAATTCAAAGAGAAAGCAACCACAACTTGGAAAAAAAACTAACTTTTCAATTTCCCTTTTGTTCGTCACAAGGTCCATCTTGGAGAGAATATTAACATGGGGAAGTTCAAGCTGAACCATAGCAGAAAGTGATGACATACATCCACTGATAAACTTGGTCACATCTGTAATGAACTATTGAGAAAGATATGTATTATTTCAACAGGTACATCTATCACGTGTATGATAATAGCAGTCATGTTATATAGGGAAAAATACCTGTGAATCAAGCAAGTACACAGAACAAACATTGAAATTTTTCCGCTGCAGATGCTCCACAAAATTCTTTAAAACAGGAACATGTGAAAAAATCTCTATCTGGCCTGTATAAAGAGGTCAAAGAAAAATAAGTACATTAGATTTCTTTCATCCTGTCACTTAACAAGTGTCTGCACTGACTATGAAAAATTGTTATTTGTTCATGTATTTATGAAGAATCTAAAATCCACAGTTATATGCAATAACACAAATATAATCTCATCAGTAGATGGCACAAATATTAGGTTGCAATTTGGTGAACTATTTGAATAAAAGGCTTTGTAACAAGTCATTTGCTAGGCACCTAAGTTGCTAGTCTAATGAAGAGTTGATATTTAATTAAATCTGAAGTGCAAAACAATAAAACATACATTTGTTGGAACCAAGTTCCTATAAGACAACAGAAGCAATCGAAAGGAAAGAGTAACAAACTCATGCACAGCTTATTTCAGTAAGCATGTACTCAATTGTTTCACAAAAATATGAAGACAAAATAATAGATCATATTTGAAATGATAATTGCCATCTGATTCAACAAAGCAAATAAATTTCGCATTTGAAGCTTTAAACAGCTTTCCTAATCAAAGTAAATAGTTCTTGTGTACTCACTCAACCTTAAAAAAACCAAAAGAAACATGAGACACACAGGATAGAAAAGAATATATAGAGTTTGGTAATGGAAAGTACCTGGACAGTCAAACACTAAGTAGTCATCATCTAAGTAATTATCCAGTTCTTCTGTTAGCCAATCATCCAAGTTATCTTCAAGATGCCTGGGTAGTGAGATTTAAGGAATTGTCACAACCCACAATGAACTTACTTCATTAGCTTCCCAGAAAATGCAATTATAAGGGAGGAACTATCACATATGGCAATTATACTTCAACTTATACTTGACCATTTCTAATTTGGGAACAGATAAAATTAAGATGCAAAAGGTCTTCAATTTAAAGGATACTCCATGCAGTAAATAAGGCCACCATTAGGTCCAAGACCAAGTTCCTCCATAACATCTTCCAAAGAAATGAGCTCTCTGATGTCTGCAAAGATAATATTAGCCATCATTTTTTAACTCCGATTGAATCAACATAAGATTATAAAAACTCAAAGATAGTCAGATAATCTCCCACCTGCAGCAACTGGATAATCAAAATTTTCAGCAGCAGGATCTAAGTTCACAATGTGTATTTGCCGTCCCACACTTTCACAATGTTGGTATAAACTAGAGCAATAAGTGGACTGCAGCAAGAGGAAAAAACTGTAAACAATAATTCTAATATCAACGAAAACACAAATCTCTGCTCATTGATATATCAAATTCATGCCCAAAAGTTTTCAGATATCCTTCCAAAATCACAGAGTTGAGTATCTAGGATAACTATACATTGTAAACAGAAGATGTAAGTTTTACAAGACTTAAATTCGATGATCACCTTCCCACTTCCAGCAGGGCCAATAACCAGTTGAGCATAGCCCATGATAGCTTTCTGTCAAATCCTTTCCGCTTTTTGGTTTATGAATGACAAATTATCAATTGCGAATAGACGAACTAAGGAAGTTACAAAGTTGAAAGATCCCGATAATTGCAACCAATGCGTATGTAGCACACCACACACCAACAGCGAACAATATGTTCAGCACATTAGAACCCCCGTTAGCGCTAGTGCCCGAATGTCTCAACATCACCTGAAATACACACTAAATTTCAGAATTCAACCGAGAATTTTACAAATTTCGAAACACAACGAAACAATAGTTTCAAGCCTAACAGTAACAAAACAATCAACATGCCTATAATTCATTGAACGGAAGGTTCCTATATCGCAACAAAAAGAATACCTTTACAAACCAAAATGTCTTACTTAGCATTAAAATCAACAAGAAACATCCAACATTAAACCGATATACATGATCATCAATTTAATCTAACAAACACCTAATCAGCCTAAGAAGTTAACAAATTTGGGTCCTTTTAACAGGACCCAATACAAATTTATAAACTCCAAAGCCTAAATTAAACCATATACCATCGGACTAAACTAATCAAATAAGAATCTATATTAAATTCATAAAGGGACAATCTTTCCTCACCAACAAACCTTAACTAATGGAATTAAAAACACCATCTCAAATTGATCAAACAATCAGAAGTAATGCGGGCCAATACCCAGATAGCATAGAATTTCCATGCATTAAAACAGGTAGAAATTAGGAGATGAAAAAGAGTATGATGAACTCACCAGGTCGGGCGGTAGAAGAGAACTAGAGAAGCGTTGGGACAGAGGAAAACTGAAAAAGGTGTATGCTTTATACGCGGGGAAGGGGGGAGACGGGAAAATATATGATTCTTTTTTTGCAGCTAATTGTAAAAATTCACCTATAAGTTCTCACTATTTTCAAAACTATCCCATTTAATGATTATGAAAAAGATTGGAAAATAAAACTTCCCGCAATTGCTTGTACTCTTGTTTGTATAACCACAGCATTTTGACTATACATATGAAATGGTAAGGATAATCTTCTTCACCGTGTGAAAGAAATCATGACTTAATTTTGTATTTTTTTTTTGGCAAATTAGGAAAAATCATTACTTGTTTTCACTAGTGTGAGTTTGACCAAAAATAAAAAGACAACATCAATTAACTTGCCAATTAAGGTTGATATAACAGTCACGAAGGTCATTGATGAGTTTTAAGAATTCAAGGAGATGGATGTAATTCTTCCAACATTTTACAAGGAAACATTAATTTTGATTTTGAGACCCAAAGAGAGAGAGAGAGAATTAGTCAACAATATTTCCAATTTACAAGCCTTTGGTAGTCTTTGTTCTTTATTCTTTTTTTTTTATCTCGAGAAAAATCGGATAACAAAATATAATCGACCTTAAAATTGTTTAATGGACCTTAAAAGGATTTTACGTTAGTAAAAATGGACTTACCAAATCATTTTAGAACCATATGATTCGATCTTTAATGGACAAATTAAGAGTTTTTAAGTTTAATGAATGTTAGAATAATGAAAGCCTACAGCATTTTAATGGTTGGGCAATGATAAAAATCGGAAATGATTCCATATACAACCTTGGATCCACGAGCAGTAATAACTAATAACTACTATAATTAAGTGACTATGAAAACTATGACAAAGGGATGTAGAAAGTGGAAGATGCAATGGAGCTGCGGAGATATAAGGTGATCTACCTTAAAATTAGGTGACAATGGAGTCCTATCAATTGTCAATTTTGTACTTACAAATAGAAAGACCGAATTTTTTCGTATTTCAGTGTCGTGATTAATTGTCTTAACAAATAAACTTAACACAATCCATATGTTCTAATTTTCATTTTGTGTTGTTTGTTTTGCTCACAAGTTCAAAAGATTATATGAAAACTCCATTCAAAGTTCACTTTGTAAATTATTCTATTGAACTATTCCGACATGACAGGATTTTACTTTTCAATTGAAAATTAAGAACAAGAATACCATGCATCGCAATCACCATGGATTTCAATATAAATAGTTACAAACAAGAATGCCTTCCAATAGACAGATATCGATTAATAAAAAAAAATATACAACAAATAAAACTTGAATTAACAAACTAAAAAAGAAAATATTCTTCGGAACAGAAAAATAGGTCACTTTATTGAACGAATAGTAAGGTAAGCTCCTGAAAAATATAGAGGAGATACTCCACTATCTAGTATCGCATCATATCACTTTCGTATGTCATCTTGATCAAAATTATTATAAACTACACACAATCATGGATGCCAAGGATTTCACAGAAATCACAAACTCAATTCATTCAATCTGATCTTTCCTGATAAAAAGCTCTCGAAAAACTACCAACAAAGACTGACTCTGAATCTTCCTTAAAGCTGTGGAGGGTAACATAATAGCAGCCAACATTATCGGTGGTGACAGTAAAATCGAAGGAGTATAAGTTATGGATTGACCTTTTTTTTTTTCCTTACCTTCTTTGGGTAATGACCCTTTTTCATTCATATCAGATGGTAAATTGATGCTATTTATTGTCTCTCCATGGAAGCATCATTTCGCTCTTCATTAATTTGTAAATGGAAAATCAATCTTTGTCAGACACAAAAAAGATATGCAAAATAATAGTAACAACAGAACCAAACAAACCTTGGCATATTTTTTTAACAAGCTTTAACAACTTAATCATAATCACAGTATATGTAGTGTAAAACAGAGTATCACAAACTAAAACATGACGTTCAAGTAGTACTCGCTCTGTCCCAAAAAATAAAATAAAATAAAATAAACAGTGAGAGTACACTTATAAATTGACAAAACAAGAAAAGGAAAATGAGGTAAATACAATTTGAGAATAACTTCAATGGTATAAACACTTACAATCTTTTGGACACTCATCGTTTGATGAAAAGATCCAAACAACCTATATAATTTCATCCCCCAAACAAATAGATAAACCTCAACAAAAAGAAACAAAAATCAATATTCTCCTCAGTTTTGTTCTAATTTAACAAAGATCAAGCAAGGTCTTTTATCAAGTTCAACACTCCAGAGCTGCACAAGGTTCCCAATTTGGAAGTTATTGCCATCCCTAATGTTCTTCCATCCATCACCATTCAACACATAAGAAACACTGGGTTTTCCATGCTCCTTGTTCATGAGCCACCTTCTTAGATTCACGCTCTCTACTCTGTCCTGAGGCTCAATCACCTCAAGTGTAAGAACTTTACAATGGCCATCTTCGTCACGCTGTTTCAACAACTCTTTATCTGGATTGTTGAGGAATTCGTTCTTTATCTTTCTTTTTGGGATTGAGAAACGGTTCTGGTTTCCTTGAAGATCAGTTTTTGTCAGTCTCTTTTGTATTACCAGAACTGTCTTCCCGACCTCCCTGTTTCCAGCTCTTTCAAGGATCTTGTTTCGGTATCCGACGGGCAAATCAGGAGGTGGATGAGGGCCATTATCCTTCTTGATTTTTGGTGGTTTGTTCAAATCCAGGGTCGGAATTTCGGTGACTTTATGATGATGATCATGCCCTGTTTTCCTTTTCTTGATGGTGAACTCAGGGCAGTTGTCTTCAAATCGTATTCTTTTCTTGAAGGGTAGATTCAGGGACGGAATTCCTGCCATGAAATTGGCATGAATCCCTTCTGGTTTCTCTGTTTTCACTGTATCCTTCTCGATCTTTCTTGGGGTATCATCAACATTGTGTTCTGTCCCATTGATCCCAACTTGATTTTTCTTCAAGGTGAATTTAATGGCCATAACCTTTCTGGGTTTCGAATCCATCCCACTAATTCCCGGAAGAAGAAGATGATCATTGTCTTTCAGCCCACTAGTTCCAGGAAGAAGGTGGTAATCATTGCCGCCGGATAAAGGAATCGTCTTGGAAGTCCGGTGACGGTTTCGGAATTCCGACCTCTTAGAAGTACAGCCCCAGTTTCGGACAGATTCGGCTGCCCTGTTTTCCAGTCTCCTCTGTCTCCGTTCTTCTTCATATGCTTCAGCAGCCACTGAAGCCAGTATATCTAATTTCCTCATTGTGGGTTTTTCTTCTCTGATGATTCAACAGTTGAATGAGTTTCTGGGTTCAAGATCTGAACTTTCAATCAAACAAAGATTGGGGGAATGACTTATGAAAGCGGAAAATCAACCTGAACAACGAAATGAATTGGGGCTAAAAAGGGTTTCTTGATCTTTCAATAAAAAATGCTAGAAAACTTGGACGAATTTATGCAACAATAAAGAAGACGAGACGAAGGAAACAGGGAAGTGGAATATATATATAGAGCTTAAAAACACTTGGATTATTACCGAAGCATTGAGGTATTAGGAAGTAGGAATTTTGCCCTAATCAGTTTCCAGTTAGGATTGTGTTCTTAATGTTACCGTTGGGGGGTCTTAAGGCGGTGTATAATTAATAATTTTCCAAGAAAGGTTGGTTAATTTACAAAACCCTTCTTTTCTTTTTAATGAGATTTCTTTCAAAACGAAAAAATATAACACAATGTGTAGCAAAAAACCTTTTTGGTTTCTTTTCAGCTTAAACAACCAGGATATTTGGCGATTTCTTTGCAGTATTAATATTTCAATTGTTTTTCCCCTACAAAATACAAACTCAAAGAAAGACGAATTGCATATATTCTTGGCTCTTGACAAGAACACCTCATGCGAAAAACAAAATTGCCAGTTGCTCCTTTGTTTTATTGTCCCTAATCTTCAACAGTGGTTTGCTGTGTCAACTAGCATCTGATCAAGTAATAATCTCTCACCCATCTTTCTTACTGAGATCATGAATCCATTTAATCCAGAAATTGTCGATTTTGCGAGCTGAGAGACCAAATTTGTTTCAGTAATCCGTGGAGCAGCTTCATTCCAGACATGAGCATCCTTAAGATTCAAGCAACCCTCATTCCTTCTTTTTCCACAAAATTTTTTAGACCTCTCTACACAGTCAAGTTATTGTTGAGTACTTATGATATTGTTATTAATTATCAAGCAGTATAAAAGCAAAAGGCCTAATATACATACTTTCTCAGATTAGAATACGCAACCAAAGAGTTGTTCTCATAAGTTAGCTTCTGATTTTCTCCCCTGAAGCTGTAAGGATTTTGGAGATGACCAGCATTAACCAAAGAAGAGCAGGAAAGTGATGACATCCTGTCTTTCATGTTCTGCTCCAATTTAGAAGAAAATATAGTATACACTTAACAGGACTCAACATTTCATACGGCAGAAAATATGCAATTCCAACTGGAAAACCGTTCAGGTCTGTTCTTTATAACAGTCTGGTACACATCTTTTAGATCTGAAAAAGCGATCCATAACGAATGGTTTTCCAGTTGCTATTAACACATAATGAGAAGGGAAGACGACCATTACTAGAAATTATCCACCCAAGCAGTTACTGCAAAACCTTAGACTCTGAATTATGTACAAAAGCAGCTACTGCAAAACCTTAGAATTTGAACAATCAGTAGATCCACATTGCCTAGCCAGTATCCACTATAGTCACTTACTTCAAGAGCTTGAAACATCAAATTTTGGCCCGACTTATGAACTGATGACACTGCAGAGTGCCTAAGATATATACTCGTATAGGAGAAGACTATCTGGATCACTTAGACGAAGATAGGCCAGTACCCGGCGACTAATTTGTCTGCTGCAACACTTCTCTCCTGGACATTAAAGAATATTGCATGATAGCAAAAAATGCCAGATTATCTGTGTCAACACTACACTGATAAGTAATATCTTCGGCATTGACCACGCAATATTCCAAATTCTGAACATAAAAAATTGATATCTTCAAAGTTTCATGGTCTAGACTTCTTATCCCATTGACATGACTTTCTGCCCGGAGTACATAACCACACCAGCAGTTGCAACTAATCTCATAATTATCATAACCAGCATTGATTAGCTACCTTGAGGCCATTCTGTAAAATTCAGCATAAGGGTCCTGATAAGATGGCACTGGGAACTCACATGGGCTGTCCCTCCAGAGAAACCGATGACCGAAAGAAGAAAACGATAGCCAAGTAACAAAAGCGAGCATTAAGTTTCCAAATATTCATTATAAAGCCAAGCTGTTGCCTTTAAACATTTTCGTCGGATTTAAGATCAAAATCTAATCTCTGCAACACGCATCATACAACTAATTTCTTTAGTTGACACTTCTATTTGTAAATGCTGACCTTTACTCTACTATGGAAAATTACTGATAATTTCATCCAAGCTGATACAAAAATCCCCAGCCTCAAATTTTGACAGTTTGACACTCTCACAGTCATGGAATATTTTTATCTTGAAAGGAGTAGAATTACCTAACTGCATACGTCTGAAGTTCATAGATTAGAATGCTAAAGAAAACAATATTTTTCCGAAGCACGTACATATATGAAGAGAAATGAGTTCCTGCTGGTACAACTACAAAGTGGAAAATCTTTTTCCCCCTAATTATCATGATCTATTCTTTGAACAGTGTGATTACTTGTGAAGAATAAATTTGTGATATTTAAATTATGCTTTGTGTGGACTTTTGAGGATCTTTCGAATTTCTTCGGAAGACAATTGCATCACTAAACTGAATTGACAAAAGTAACAAAATCAAGTGGAAAAGATGGTCATATTCACAATACTCTTCACTAAATTTCTTTTAATCACTAAGTTCACTAAACTAAGTAAAAGAAGCATTTTCTTCCTTTCGAAGTATGTGTGTGGAGAGGAAAAATGAGCCCTTTATATGTACATACACTTTATATGTACTTTATCAGTAAAGAGTAAGGGATTCTGAGAGAACCAAAGAGCTCGAAAATAACTATTTTTCAAAAAAGAAAAAAAAAAGAAAAGAAAAGAAAAAAAAAACCATATACTTCATCATACCTGCTGTAAATATCATTTTGGACAGAGGAACTTGAAGGTATAGTTGACTTACAATATCTGAAATTTAGGTTGAAGCCGGGGCAACTGTGAGTGCGGCATTTTGTCGAACAGTTTGTGAGGATGGGTTTAATGTGTTTCCGATGGATTTAACAATCCCGGGCTGGTGATGGAGGGAAATGAAGTTGATAGTTTAGTATTTCATCGATCTCATGCCGCCATATGCTCTAGTAGTCATTTGATTCAGTACTTTCTATGTTTTTTAAGAAGGCCAAAAAAAAAAAAAAAAGGACAAATCAATTTATAGAAGTAACAAAATATACCATTGCTTTTATCATAAGTTCGGAAATGAGGAGCTTTTTATGGCTTCATTATTTCTGTAGGTTGTTAGTATCAAATAAACAGATAATCATCGTTTAATTTCAAGGGGGGAAAATAATAATACTCCCTCTATCTGGAAATTATTGTCTAATTTAGATTTAATTTTAGTACAATCCGAACTAAAAGTGAAAATAAAAGTAAACAATAAATTTGAGACAAAGAGAGTATTAATTAATAATTTAATCCAAATTTTGACATATCACCTAATATATACTTCCTCCGTTCCAAAATAATAGTCCACGTTAAATTTTGAGTTTTATACTATTTTTAATATAAATTTGAAAACTCAATCTGAACTATTTGTTTGGGACGGAGGTCTCCCTTCTCACTCCATTGCCCTTAATAGAAATTATTACGTGATACAAGTGACGAACCAAATAGAGAGTTGTAAATCAAGGTCAAAGACGTCGAAATTGAGCAATTGATTTTGGTACTATGACATTAATAATTGGGACTCAAGTTCAGAATCACTAGACTAATTCACCTTCTATTTTTCGCTGTATTAATATTAATTGCAGTACCTTCGTCTAGTGAAAAAAATAAAATAAAATAAAATTTGATTAAAATCTCTAGCTGGTGGTTGTTGAAGTATGCTTTCTATGAAAAATTAATCATTATGTTCCTCTCTACATTATCTCATTGATCAAAGTCTAGTAGCATGTCATCAATGAAGTAGAAATAAATGAATCTGCCCTCTCTTGAAAAATGTATTAATCATGCCATTCATCATCAATTTATTTAATAATTAATCAAGATAAAATTTCAATGCAAACAACCACAACTTGGTCATGATATAGCAATTAACTAATCATGATATCGCAACTAACTAACTACACCAGATGTTTGTCATAATCTGAACCAAAATTTCTTTGAATTTCACAGAGTAACTATTCATTAAATATAATTTACATGACTCGAATTCAGATTAATGGGAAAAAAAAATTTTGAACAAAAAGGTACTCCATTTTTACAAGGCTGATTATTTGTATATTGGTTAACAGATTTTATTTGTCAAAAAAATAAATAGACACATTAACTTCGGAACCACGACCAAAATCAGAACCATTCATCCGTCCTTTTCCAGTTTTGTTCCATTTAAAGGTTGTTAGATTTTTTTAATCCTTTTATAGTAAACTAATTGGAGTGATATTAATGCTTAGAGTTTGATTAATCACTTGACTGATGCATATTATTGTTCAGGGAAAGGCCATCTTCAACAACTAACACACCACCAGATTAATTTCACAGTTTCATTCATGATTCATTCCTATAAATTCAGACTATATCAGCTAAAAGCCCCATCAACTTAAACTATTTTTTTGAAAGTTTTAATTCAACAAAGCACCTAGCTAATTGTTTTGTTATTGAAAGAAAAGAAAAAAAAAACCATCAATCATGCGATCATCAACTTTTGTGGTGCTTATTTTGGCGTGCGTAATCGGTAAGTTGTTAGTAGAAGATTTATATATATTGTTTACAATTATTGGTCTTTTTTTAAATATGATTTTATTTTGTATGAATGATTTTGCGAGCAGCATTAGCAGTATTTCCAAGATCCTTCCACGCACAGGCTGCTGCCGCGGTTGTAGCGCCTCCAGACGTGGAATCAAGAAGAATTCTAACCGCGCCGGGAGCGGCCGGCGACGAACCATGCACTGTGGACTCTGACTGCAAGCCACTTTTCTTGTACTCTAAGGCAGGCTGCAAAGGTCGTCAATGCTATAGTTTTTGTATCTTTGGATTATTCCAGTGCTAGCCAAATTGATTTGGTAAAAGGC